TCTCCTAAATTATTGCCATTTATTCTTTATTAAATTATTATTATCTTACATTATTACTCTTGGCCTTTATCATTATTGCCCTTTATTATTGGGTATTATCATTGCTGTTACCATGATTATCCCTGTTTTCATCACAGAAAACACTATCTATGGAGATATAGAGTGAATCATTTGGGTCAACTCCATGAGGTTTCAGTACTGCCACACACAGAAGCTTCATGTCCTTCTGTCCTCGTGAGGTGTCTGTGCCCTGGGAGGTTCCCTCAAGTGGAACCTGGGATGAATCTGGAAAAACACTTTGGAGGTGAGTCACACTGGGTTTTTTTATTTAAATACCCCTACAGCATATAAAATCACACTTGGAACTGAGGGGGAAAAGTACATAGGTTTAGGTTATTTACAGAATTTACATGAAGATAACAAAAATACTCTTGGTGGCAGATAGTGATACGTTCCAGCCAGGAATCCTGGAACACAAACCTGCAGGTGTGTGGGGAATTCCCTGTCAGCCTTCCCAACTTAGGGCCCTGCACAGGCAGAGATAAGCTGGGCAAGACTTCCTCAAGGCCACACTGCAGTCAGGTATTACTTCTGGAATATAAATGGTTTTAACTGGAAAATGTTTTCTTTATCATTTCTGGATGTTGTTATTTAGGAGAAGCAAGTCCTGGATTGACAAGTTTAACAGTTTGAGTGTGTTGAATACAACATTCACTTTTGGCACAACAGTCAATCCTTAACCTCCTTTCTCTGTCCCAAAAATGCTGCCTCATGTAAAACCTTGTGAAACTCCCAAATATGACCCCACTCTCCCTTCTGCAGCCACAGAGCAATGGAGGCTCAATCCTTGTATGCAAAGAACAACCAACTCCATGATGGAGCACAAAGGATTTGGCCTTCTTGTCCACTGAGCTGCATGAAACTCTCTGGCATGGCTGAAACCTGTCACTGCTTTCCTTCTCCTGTCAGTCACCCTCAACACCAATGTCTTTTTAATCTCTTCCTGATGACAACTTAAGGTGCCTCTGCACTCATTGCTTGAAGTCTTTCTCATCTCTTTTAAGTTAAAAAAAACACTAAACCACCTGAGCTGTGTGAAAAATACTCATTCCTTAAAAACCAGCTCGTTTTGTACTACTAGTTCTTTTTGTAAAGAAGCTTTGAGACCAGTTTCAAACCCTTAGTGAAGACTGAGCTTTAAGTGAAGCTCCTGATCTCATCAACTGAAACTCTGACCAATGGTCTGACACACAACTGAAAACAAAATCAAAGCATTTTCTTAGCACTCAGTGTGATGGTGCAAGTTACTCACACCACTTTTGCAAGTATTTCTTGGAGTACTTTATTCCATCTTGCTCTGCAAGGCTCTGGAACAGGAACTCACTTAACTCAAGCAAAGCACTCTCAGGTTTTTCTTACCCATCATTTTGCTGTTTGCTCAACAAATTAAGTATTCACTTTACAGGGTTATAAACCCCTTCAGGTGTGTTGCTGTATCACTTCAGAAACTGAGCAAGCCTGAAAATCACACCCAGTCTCACTACAAATTATTCACCAACCCAATTAGTCTCAGAACTTTCCACTGGAAACAACAAAAACCTCTTCAAAGAATTTTGTTCTCAACCACAACTGAATTGAATGAATGAAAAACTTCTGCTCCAGTTCCTCAGTTCACTTTCACAGCTTGGTCCAAATTTAGGCACCACAGAGAGTGTGATGAGTCCAATTTCCCTCGAGCTCTTCCTAAACTCCACTGACACTCATGTTAATGATCTCAATGATGGTGTTCTCCACACACTGGCACAACCGAACGTCAGGGTCCAGGCTAGAAATGTCCCTGGAGCAGCTTTTGGAAGATGAATCTTTACAAAGTCCTGAGTGTTCATGTGGTTTTTCCTTGAGCTGCTGGAGACCTGGAAAATGCAGTAGAAGAAAAATACATCTAAGTAATTATTGCAAGTTGGTGTTTTACATCCATACACAGGCACATAGGAGATTGCAGGTCTGAGCCATCACTATTTCAGGCTTCATTCCACTGGTTATTTCTAGAGACACTACATTTCCTTTTCATTTACCTACTTCTGACTCCTTTGGGGGGTTTTATATTCCCTTATAATTCCTTCAACATAAATATCTCAGCACAGACAGCAGCAGGGAACCTTGTACCATGTGAGCAAACACCAGTGGCATCTGCTTTAACCTCACACCTTTAACCCTTAGACTACAAAGGCAAATTCCCTGCACAACACCTGCATGCAGGGATACATCTTGAAATGATACAAAAAGGGAAATGAAACAGAAGGAAGGTGGTATAAAGGTTAATAAATGGGTACTTTCAGCCCCTGTAGCCTCTCAACTCTCTTCTCCACACCAGGAAATCCACCTGTCCTTCTATATTTACTCTCTTATTCCTTCTATATCTGCAAGACCACAGCAGTAAATTCACACTGCACTCCAGTTATCCCATTAACACAGTTTTCTCCTGAAACCAGGATGTTATGTGTGAGACACAAGGTGCTGCACTCACGTGTAATTATGGGGTCAAAGTCTCGTGTCTGTGTAGCAACATCAGAGGCACAAACTTGTCCTATCTGTATCAGCAGAGACATAATATCCTCATACAGGGGAGGAAAGGCTTGGCAGAAGGACACCAAACAAGGCAGGGTGGGCATGAAGAACACATAGCGCTTCGACTGCGTCAGAACTGCCAAGGAGAAGGAGATGGTTAAGTAAAATCATTACAAAAAAACCCCATTGAGACCTGTTGTTACATTTACAACAGGAACTGCTACATTTAATCCGAACTGCCTTCAGCCTAGACAAGCAATTCTGACATGAATCAGTGGATTTTGGGGCTGCAGGAGTGCTCACCTGTGAGCAGAGTTCCCATCACGTTGATGGCTAAACGAGCCACGCTCAGAGATTTAGGCAGTGCATACTGGATACACAAGTATGAGAGTAACTGGATGGCAAATATCTGTTAAGTAGGTGAAAGACAAAAGAAATATAAGCAACTAAGCCAAAAATTGCTTGTACTTTCTATCCAAAGCTCTTCACTTAACTGTTGCTAAATATTCTCTATTTTACCAATAGGGAAATTAAAGGGAATGGAAGTCAAAAAAACCTTACTAATAGTTATTCTGATTATTTTTCTGCCAATGTTAAGACAAACAACCCACACATATTTAACATTAACCCAAATGCCATTGTCAGTGTTTCATAATCTCCCCCACAGACACAATTTGATCCAGCAATAATGATGAGCAACACAGGATTTACAGCCCAACCCTTGTAAAAGCTGTTCAGGTCTGATATTTTCAGCTTTAACTTCTGTTGAGTGTCTTCTTAGCAGCAGGGACAATATTGAGAAGGAATTAAATAAGAGCAACTACAAAGTTGGCTTGATATGGCAACCTGGTCTAGTGGGAGGTGTGTTGGAATGAGATGATCTTTAAGGTCCTTCCAACCCAAACCATTCCATGATTCTATATAGAAACAGAGGAATCTTTAGCCCAACAAATTTCAGTTACTTACAATTCCAGGCCTTTAATTTAAGTTAGAAATGCTACAAATCTCACCTTAATATCCCAGGCAGGTTAGGACAGGACATTTTTAGTGACTATTTTCTCCCCTTAGCCAATATTTCATCAGGATTAACCACCCACAGTGATTCTCAAAGCAGCTGACTGCACAGTACCTGTTTTTCAAGTTCAGGCTGGGCAATGAGCTCTGGAATGAAATCCAGACAGATGTGCATGGATGGGATCCCTGCCACTGTCAGTGCCAGAAGTTCACATGGATAACCCTGTGTGATTGAGGAAGCAAATGTGTCAGTGTGTCACAGGAGCTGTAAAACTTCTGCTTCAACTAAGATTTTAAATTAGATCTGTGTTAATGCTTTTTTCCAAACTGATATACTTGGAACCCTCTTTTGTTCAGGGTTAGCAGGGGCTGAGTCAGTTCTTTACCCTCAACACTCAATGTATAACTTGCATAGAAACTCTCCCTCCACTCCCTAAACAAAACCAGACTGCAGTGACCCTTTCCTTCTGTGCCTTTCCACCTTCCAAACTTCACCCTCAGCTCCAAGTTGCTCATTTCACAACTGCACCATAATGACTTTTTTATCACTCAATCAGTTCCAGGTCAAGGCAAATTAACTCCTTGCAAAGACTCTGCCATCTGGCAAGGAGCAATTTAACATGCATTAAAAACACATTTATATTTTTCTAACTGCTAATCCTTCCTCTCTTCTTTTTGTTTTTGAGCTGCTTTAGCAGGAGCAACCTTTCTCCTTCCACTCTGGAGAGAGAAACTGTGCCCTAACAAAAAGGAAGGATAAGAGGATGTTTACATTTGAAGCAAAATCAGTTTTGGATAATGGGAATACTAATTTAAACACATGACCAGAAAGAAGTAACCCACAAATGATGTGGAACAAGCAATTATAAGATGATTAAGGCAGTTTTCCTTGGCCTAGATAGATAAACTATACAATAGGGCAGAGGCACAATGTGTTCAGTGATGAGGAACAGGCAGAGTTTAGGTGTTCCCTTCTTGGCTACAAACACTGAAACACAGAGGAAATGTGAGTCCTCTAAATTTGGTGACAGGAAGCAGAACATTAGGCCATTATCAATTCTGAGGAACACAACAGCATTCAGCACCCTCTGACCACTTCATTTGGCTCTTTCCTAACCTGCTG